TTGTTAAGATTTTCTAAAAAACTAAAGTGGTTTTTATTTTCATATTTCTATAGTAGATAGAATAGAGATGGTGCCCAGGCACGGCTACGTGGAGGTGTTGCTCCAGATAATTTTGACATCATCATCAACTGTAAGTCTGCCAAGGAAATCTAGGATGTGCTTAAGAATCTCTATCACGGGTCAGAACAAGCTCATGATAAGAAACTCACTACAACTCTCAATGAGTTTAACAACTTTAAAGCTCTTCCTGGTGAAAGTCTGATGATTCGTTCAAACGATTCAATCTCATCATCACGAAGTTATAAGATGTTGGTACAATTCATAGTAATCATGAAACAAGCCTACAGTTTCTGAATGGTTTGGGAAGACATTGGTCTAATGCAAAGATGATTGTGCAAGGGAATATGAAGATTCATACGTTGTCCTTGTTCAAGTTATATGGAGAACTTCAAGCATAAGAATCAACTGTGCTAAAAGATTGTGCAGACCTAGGTGGACCACTCGCCCTGATGGCTTAGACTCCACAAGTCAAAACTCCATAATATTCATATCCCATGGAGTCATCCTACCCACCTTCATATGACAACTTACCGCAGTCATATGAGGCTAATGCTGAAATCGATGACGAAGAAGAATTTCAGAATGACATCGCCTTGGTCATCCAGCAATTCAACAGGCTACCACCACCATCATTACATAAAAATCAGTAGTTTACTAAACCACCTTTTAACTGCAACTTCAATCCACATAATAACCACTCAAGATACCCCAGAAACCCTCATCATTCAGCCTAACCAGATAAGGTACTTCATACCAAATAGGCACCGCAGTCCAACAAACCATCAGACTCCAGTACCTCGACTGAAGATAAAAGTGAAGTCATTTTTTTCCATACGTTTCATAAAGGGAATCAGTTTGCCAAAGATTGCAAAGCAAATGTGGTTAAGGACAAGGCATGTTACCTTAGAATGGACCAAGAAATGGAGGAGAAAGAAAATGCTTATGTTTCCAAGTGAAGAGGGATCATCAACTGTGGTCATCCAGAGATGAAGATGAATAGTTTGACAACAACAAGAGAAAAGGGAAGATCTGCATAGTTGCAACTGATGAAGAGGACGGACCGATGAATTTGCAGAGGAATTACTGCTACATGGTCAAAGACGACACCCTCAATATCGTCAAATAGGTAAAAACCATGATCCATTCTAATAACTACATCATGCATGATTGTGAACCACACTTAGAAAGACTTAACGACACATGTGTTGTTGTCCTTTCAGACTACAACAAGGCCCTTGACGAAAATAATACAATGTCTCAAGAGCTATATCACGTGAGAGGAAGACTTGAGGATAAGAGACTTAAGGTTGTCATGTTAGAAAATGATTTGTTACTAGAAACAGATGCTAGGATGTTGAATGAAACCCAATTTGATATTGCTTTAAATCAACGGGATCTTGCCCGAAGAGAAATTGTACGTTTGAATCAATTAATAGAAAAGCTTTTTAATGAAACTGAAGCAATTGAAAATTTGGTTAACAATGGGACCGTAGACAACACGTATAGATGGTCCAATGGTTACTCAACCGACGAGAACCCTACTCCCCGGTTCAATGCTGATCGTCCATATGTCCCACTGAATCATGAATTTGATTTTCCAATCAAAGATAAAACATTTCCCAATACCACAACGAATCACCCCCTTGCGGTCTCGCAACAACAGCAGCCTCAATGACAGCGACATAGCGCTCATCAAAAGTCTCAATCAAGTTGGTCTTGACAGACGCAGACATCTCAGGGGTAGCCTCTCGGATTGCTGTGGTCACCTCCGCGGCAACATCCTACTATTCACATCATTACTGGCACTCGACCTCTTGGGTCGCTGAAGCCCGAACCTCGAATAACCTCCATACTGAAACACAAAAGAAAATTATCAACAAATAGGCTAAAACGCATATAATGACACTCACACCCCTACAAGCTCTTTAGTCCATTGAGGTTATTCTTTGAGCCGCTTACGAATCCGGTGCTTCCAGTAGTACGAACCCAATACTACCTTCCACACAATCCCATATTTGTCTCGAGTCGTACCCTCAAGACCCCAAGAACTCTACCCTCCTCATATCAGCTATGGACGCACCCTACTGGTTCCTTAGAAGCACAACCATGTGTCTGGACACTAACTCTAGACTGCTCCCAACGCTGATCTGCCTCACAAGATCTTCGCTGCCCTCGTTATTTGCTTCACGTATGACAATTATACATAGTATGAGACTCAATAGACATTCAAATAAATGATCCCACCTCAAATCCACAACCAAACAAGGAACATGAAGAAAGGACAAATCAAGCATTCTAAGGCTATAAATCCTAATTATGTACAACTATGTAGCATACACTAAGCAAATAGTAAGGACAAATTCAACCTCACAAGAATGAACTCCTGGGCTAAGACATCACAAATCAGGCAATATTTCACACTAACTCTGCAAGATTCCTTAGCCTACCTCTAGCTAGCATGCAATCTTGTCAGCTCATAATATACACATATCTACTCTGCACTACTTAAAATATAAATTGAGGTATTTTGAGAAACTACCGTTCGAGCGTTAGTCAATTGTACACACTACTTCTCTGGGTTTTTCTCCTGTAAAAGTCTTCATTTCTTGTTAAGTTCTTAAAATATTTTCAAATCCTTAGTTTGAGTTTGGAATTACCAAGGGGTTCATCCAAATCCCTCAAACCAGGGTTCTGATACCAAATTGTAACACCTCAAATTTTAGACCAAAATTTTCATTTTTAAATTACCAAAATCAGGGTTTCACAACCAAGTTATCAAATACATAATTATCCCAAAACAACCAGTAACATAATTATCAGAGTTCATAAACATCTCCAAATAATAAATCCCCCAATGTGTGTGTGTGTGTGTACAATCAGACATTCACCTTCACGCGGTACTGAGAACTACCTGCCACATATAAATCAATGACTGTAAGCACAAAGCTTAGTGAGTTCTCCAAGATACCACATACAACACATCATACAAAAACAACTATGGGTTATCAACAACCCTGAGGACTATTAGCAGTCCCGATGAGCTAACAACACACCTAATGGGTTATCAGCAACCATGGTTGGCTATCAGCAACCCCAGTCACATATAAATAGGATAACATAGTCATAACAGCTAGAACCAGTTGGTCATCATAAATATAACTATCCTACCATACAAGTAAGAGTAAGTGAGGAGACTCACCTGATACTGATGATACAAAAACCTAGCACCCAAACTATTGGTTCTAGACTCCACCTAGTCAACAAAATAATTAACCCTAATAAATAATTAAGTTCAAAACCTCACTCGTGAGTCCAAATCTCATGGCTAAACCTTCTAAGGGCAAAAGGACCATTTTCCCCTTCTCATGGTGCAAAAACCCTAAAACTTGACTAATGGTCAAACTCAACGAAAGTCAACACTCAGCACGTACACTGAGCATACAACTCCTTACGTTGGGCGTACAACAGGGTCATCACTCATCGGGGAAGGATCAGGCTACACTGAGTGTAGCCACGAGTACGCCTGACGTATTCTATTAACCTCTAATTCCACTAAGTTGGTGTCTTAATCGTTTAAGACAACCAACCCAACTACATATCTGACTAATTTAAGACCTCTTAATCCATAAAGTCGTGGGCTTTAAGCCATTGCATGGCAAGGAAAGGCTCAAAGCATCACTTCATCCATTCTAACCTACTTTACTCATGCATAAGCCAAAGGGGAAGACAAAGCAAGCATTTTTATGAATCTAAATGTCCTAATATGCATGAAAGGACAACTTAAACCCTCTGGAGAGTCCCAAACTCGTAAATGTCTAAACTTAGGGACTTTTAGCTCATAAATCTTAAACCAAAGAGATCTAGAAGAACATTTTTCAAGGTATAAACTTTATACCTGAAAATGATGCACAAAGATGAGAAGTTTCCGGATCTTCAAGCTTGCTAGCATCTTCATCTTTTTTTTTTCTTATTGTTATTATTATTATTATTATTATTATTATTATTATTATTATTATTATTATTATTATTCTCTAACCCCCTTCTTCTACTACAAGAGCCAAGAATACTTAAAACTTGCAATAACACACACACACACAAGCCACTCACACGAGATTAGAGTTTATGGGAGGGTTGGAGGCTGATAAGGGTGCCTAGAAATTAAGAAATGATGTTCTTTAAATAGGGACAACCCTTAAAATTAGGGTTTTACATCAGGGCTAGTACACCCAACATACCACATGTATGTCCAACTTACTAGCTGACCCTCCGTGTCCATGTATGTTGCATGAGTACGCTGCACGTACTCATATGTATGCCCCACGTATAACCACTTTTGCAAGCCTTTTTCTATGAGGGACCAAATGTGACACTTTTAATAAAGATTCAAGAAATGATAAAATGTACCTTATTTGGGGATGTTACACATGTTCGAGACAAAACTAGCTAAAAGTTGCTAGTTGGAAGTCGTAACTTTTATTTGTATATGAGTGTTCGACAAAATAACTGAAAGCTTTTAAGACATTTGAAATTACATAAAATGACTTTTGTAAAACACGTCAATTTAAAAAAAAAAAAAAAAGGCAATTAAGTCGATTAGCAAAATTATAAAAAAGTTTTTTTGTTAAACACTATTTAAAGTAGTAGCTTTTAGATTCATAATTTTTTGTTTTACCTAAAAGCTAGAAACTCCTCACACGATTTTTTTTTCGAATTTTTTCAAAAAAATTAAAAACTAAAAATACCCACAAATACATCTAAGACTTACAACAAATCAAAGACTTATAACAAGTAGGTTGTCACTATTCATTAGTTGAATCTAATGTTTAAAAGGCAAACCGAGTTGAACGAGTAAAAACTGATACCATTCTCCTTCAGCACCTAAACAAATCCTACCATGCTATAACAATTGAGATAATGACAATACTACCCTCAAGAAAGCTTTATCTTCTCGAATTCCAAGCCGAAACTGAGAAAATGGGCCGATCTTGCCAACAAATGACCACACACCCAATTTTTTCTTTAATCCTACAACCATTACAACTACTTCCATGAATCAATCTTTGAGCAAGTATCAGCCCATAATAGCTTAATGTAACAGGCCCAAAGCCCATTAAACTAAGCCTTTGAATCCACTTATCGAGCTTTTCATGCCTTTCGATTCTCTCCTCCCCATCGCACGCTATAATGTTCTTGATCTCCTCCCCCAACATTTTCTCGATTTTTAATCTTTCCGGTGATGTTCTTGGCAAAGTGGACTCTGAGCAGTCGAAAAGGGCGGCGTAAAAGTACAACGATTCCGATAGTCGCTCCATTAAATCCGATTGGTTGTGGTCGGATTCTTGTTCGGCCACCACCATTATTTTTGGGGATAAACCCCATAAACGGTTGAGGAATCGGTCTAACTTCGTGGAAGAAACTGTACAAGATGTGAAGGAATCTTCGGTCTTGGAAATGGGTGGTGATTTTCTTGCAGTTTTATCGATTTTTGTTAACATTAAGTGGAATTGAAGAATCGAGCTGATTGCTAACGCTTCGCCGGTTTTGATTTTCAGTTTATCGATGTCGAGATCGTCGAGCTTGGTCACGATTGGATTGAACTGAAACGGGATATCGAGTTTTTCAGCTTCTTCGGTTAATGTGCTGGCCATATGGTCTAGAACCTTTTTCTGGTGATGGATTCCGGTGATTCTTAAATGCGGAGGCCCTCCTGGACGTCCGGCGAACTCATGGAGAAGTGCACGCCACTGAGTGGGTTCTACCGCGTTAAGATCGACGACATGAACCATTTTCTCTCCTTCCATGGCTTCGATTATCGTTTGGTTTGCGATAACAAATGCGATTTTCAAAAACGGAAAGCAATCGAAGAACGATTTCCTGTAGAGAATGTCGTCGTTTCCGGTGGAGATTTTGGTCGAATGAAGGGCTCTGTAGAGTCCAGGCCATGATTTGAGGATTCGATTAGCGAGAGCTTCCGCAAAATACGACGCGATTCTCTGCATCGTGTCGCCTTCAGGAGAAGCGAGGTGGGAGATTTGATCCAGGGCGAGATTAGCATGATCGAAGTTCCCGGAGGTTACGT